TCGCTCCGGCCGGACAGGGCATCATCACAGTATGGTGAGGGGCGTAAGATTTCCGTCTCACGCTTGAGGTATTCGGCTAATCACAACGCACTGGATAGCTGGCCAGTCAAGCACACCTCGCTTTTTTCAGACCGATGAGCTTTGTAAAAATCGACGCGTTTCAGAAGGTGGGGCATACAGGAGAAACAATAATGTACAGCATGTGGAAAATAATGTGTTTTTTTAACTTTAAACCGCATAAACACATTTCATTACACCAAATACACAAAATAATGTTCTTTTTAGCAGCATCATATGACCCCTTTAACAACTCCCTGCTGAAAAAACAGCTAAAACCAGCCTAAGCTGATTGACTGCTTTGACTGGTCTCCCAAGCTGGTTTTAAAGTGGTTGTGGCCACTTTTTTAGCAAGCCAGGCTGGTCTTAGACTGTGTATTTGATCACAGTTATGTACACAACCATTCAAAACTTAGGGGTCTGATTTTTTATAATTATGATAATTTTATTCATCAGGGACGCATTAAATTGATCAAAAGTGACAGTAAAGACGTTTATAATGTTAGTATAGATTTCTATTTCAAACAAATCCTGTTCTTTTGGACTTTCTATTCATCTGTGAATCCTGAAAAATAAAATGCATAACGGATTCCACAAAAATATTGTGCAGCACAGCTGTTTCCAACATTGATAATAATAATAATAATCAGAAATGTTTCTCGAGCAGCAAATCAGCATATTAGAATGATTTCTGAAGATCATGTGACACTGAAGACTGGAGTAATGATGCTGAAAATACAGCTGCGCATCACAGAAATACATTACAGTTTAACAGATATTCACATAGAAAACAGCTGTTTTAAATCATAATAATATTTTAAAATTTTTACTGTATTTTTGATCAAATAAATGCAGCGTTGGTGAGCAGATACACAGTAAATGCACCTTCTACAACATTCAGTTAAGAGTAAATAAGCCACTGTAAAGTCCGAGATGATGGCTTTTGAGTACAATTATAATAATCATATTTAACAACATAATGTTATGACAATAACCACTATCAGTGAGTTTGTGATCACATGAGCAGCATGAAGAACTGATGCAGAGAAAGACATGACAAAACACACACAGCTTCAGAGAGCTGCAGAAAGTGCTGAGTGTTCACAAAGCATCGGCTGATTTCCAGAGAGACCTGCACACATCTCTTAGCTTTCCTTCTCTTACAACTACAGTCTTTATGGGGAGAAGAGCAGAGCACTGCACACACACACACACACACACACACACACACACACACACGAGTCCTACATACAGATGCAGAACTGGGTTCATATCACATACACTTTTTATTGATATATAAACAAATAAATATATAAATGCAGCTAAATATATAACATATGAATCAAACAATTTCTTTAAAGGAAAGGATATAAAGCACTCTAATTACTTTCCTGAACTCAAAGGCCACAATGTTTACTTCATGACGTGAGTGGGATAATGACAGCAAATGAGATGCTGATACTGAACACTTATTTTCACATGATGGTTCCTCATAATTAGACTCAAACACTGTTAGATTCATTTGATGTATGCTACTGTCATCTTTAAATGTAAACATTTATTATCCATTGGGAACTGCTGGCCACTTCTGTTAATCAGTCAACAAACAAAATGAGCAAATATCAGCTGATTCATCAGATATATCAGTCTGTCACTATCTTAAACACGCCTGCGGGGAGTAAATGAGAAGCTCATCTATCACACACACACACACACACACACACACAGACACACACACACACACACACAAATATACAAAAGTTTTTGAACAGTCAGATTTTTATGTTTTTTAAAGAAGTCTCTTCTGCTCACCAAGCCTGCATTTATTTGATCCAAAATACAGCAAAAACAGCAACATTTTGAAATATTTTTACTATTTAAAATAACTGTTTTCTATGTGAATATGTGTTAAACTGTAATTTATTTCTGTGATGTGCAGCTGTATTTTCAGCATCATTACTCCAGTCTTCAGTGTCACATGATCTTCAGAAATCATTCTAATATGCTGATTTATTATTGTTATTATTATTATTAACAATATTTAAAACAGTTGAGTTACATTTATTTCAGGATTTTTTGATGAATAGAAAGATCCAAAGATCAGCATTTATCTGAAATAAAAAGCTTTTGTAACATTATACACTCTACCATTCAAAAGCTTGGAGTCAGAATAATTTTTTTGGGGGGGGGGAAGGGGGGGATTTCTAGAAATGAATCTAGAAATTATAGAAAGTAACACTTTTATTTAGCAAAGATGCATTAAATTGATCAAAAGTGATGATAAAATACATTTATAATCTACAAAAGATTTC